TCCGTCCTGCACCGCTTTTGCGCGGCACTGGCGTCTCTGCCGGACAGAGCGTGTGGCATTGGCAGTGACCGCCCGCCCCCGCCACCCCCGCCGCCCCCAGTCGGCAGTCGGGCCGGCGCACCGGGTGACCTCGCGTTGGAAATACCGTACCGTCTGCGGAGCGCGCGGGCGTATCGGGGGAGCGTTTAAAAATGACCCCTCCCCCACGCCCCACCCTATCCCGTCCAAGTCATTACACCCCCCATGCTGGGGTCACGAGACGCACAGCATTGTAGGTCAGGGGAGGGTCGCGGACACAACCCTTTCTTTTGCTCCCCCCCTCCCTTCCCTCTCTCCGCTCTTCGTGACTTCTTGGCAACAGAGGAGCATAAGCTCCCGCCAAAGGTATCTCTCTCTCTGCCTCTGCCCTCCCCCCGTCTCTCTGAATAGATGCTTATCGCCCACTTTCATTTACAGAAACGAGCAGAGCGATACATCACGCTTCAAAAATATTCACACCTCAACGAAAAGGTTTTCTCCCTCTACTAGTCCACAATTTATACAAGACCGAAACAAACAAAAATTAATGAAGAAAAAAATCCTTATAATAGTCAGCCGTAACAAACAGAATCTTAATCATGTTTAGCCCTGCTCGGTTGTTGCTGTTGTTGTTTGTTTTAAACGTCGGCCCATACTCGATGTAACTTTGGCACGCCCATTAATTGTCGGCAGACGCTTGACGCGTGCGTACTATTTGTGCATGTCCTTTTTGTTTTGCAAACGTTTGTCCATCAACACATTCACATATTATGCATGAAATTGGTGGAAAGTTTTAGAAGTTTCACATTGTATTCATAACTTTGAACAGAAATATGTTTGCACAATTAATCTTGCAAAATTCTGCCTGTGCCAATCCGTCTATAATCATGCAGAGGAAATGCTCACAAATATTTCATGTTCAGAGCGGAGGGACTCGAAGTACGTAGATGACGAATGAGAGCGTAAAATAAAGCCTACAATAACTATAATTATGTAAAATTGGCATCGCACTGTGAAAACAACTGTCATACATCGTTGTCACTCGCGTACCTATTGAAATGAAAAAAAAATATGTTGACAGTTTAAAATTATACATTTTATTGTTTACAGTGGACCCAGAACGTGGATGCATGAAAGGGAGGGCATATTGTGATACAAGCCGTCGTCGACAAAAACCATTGGTCTGCCGCTCCAAACCTCTCTCTCATCGCGGAGGTTGACTCTGGATCCGCGCCTGGAACGGACGACGACAGCGACACGACACGGTATGTATGCTGTGTTTACGGTCGTTTGTGTTGACGCTGCGCCGCGTCGCCTGCAGTCCGCCGGTCCCCGGACCCTGAATTAATTAATCGGGGCCGACGTTGAAGTGTTGTCGGTTTCCTCGCATTGCTTTGCTAATATCGCCGGCCGGACCGGTCCGCATGTGATGCTGCCAAACATGGCCAGCCAGCCGCCCCTATTGCGCCGGTTTTGGACCAATTTAACGGAGGGGACGCCGTCGGTCGCGGGCTGCGGCCGTAAGCCGTCCGGGTGCAATGAACAGGTTCTTTCTAGGAGGATTTGTTTCATCACGTTTTTTCTTTTTTTTTCACTCAGCTTGGTTCTGATTGTCTTTTCTTGTCCTGGAGGTTTTGCAATGAGCACGCAGCAGGTGTTCTCCGTAACAATAATTTTCCATTCTGCTCTCCCCTCTCTCTGTTTTTCTCCCTTGTTCTCTTTCTCCCCACCTCGTGTCCTCTTTTCACAGCCTTCTTACTCATTCTGGCGCTCTACTTGCCTCAATGTTTGGCAGGCCTTGCTGATGAAGCGAGTCCCGTGCCTGAGATGTTTTCTGGGTCACTAATGACGAGAGAGCGAGAGCCAAGGGGAGTGAGAGAGAAAAGAAGCTAGAGGGAGAGAGAGAGAGGGCGAAAGAGAAAAGGGGGGAGAGTACTAGAAGAGAAAGTAGGTGAAGTACAGTACAACACCTTAGAGTGCGAGTGGGGCGGGACGCCGTCTGGTGCCTGCTTGGACCAGCCCGGCCCGGCGAGCGTCGGCATGGAGGCCACAGGGGAGAAGAGAGGAATGGAGGGGAAGGGTGAGAGGAGTCCTCGGAGGCCTTAAATCCTCTCGTTAGGCAGGACCGGCGTGAATGCCGCCAGACCTATCAATCACACGCCCCCTTTCATCAGCAGTTGAGCTTTATTATTACTCTTTATTTTTCTTCCCCAGAGGAGCTCGAGTGGGGCAGGGGTGTGAGGAAGGGCAGGGAGTGTCGCGGCACTTATGAAAAAAATTGCGTTCTAAAATGACTTTTGTGCAAGGAAAATCCATTTTTTTTGTAAATCCAAGGAAATTTTTATAATTTTGGTTTAAGGCGTTCCCATTGTTAACTAGGATCTCGTTAATTTAACGATTATTTTTCTTTATTTTAGCGACATTTGCGTTACGCCACGGAAAGTTTCTAGTGTCAGAAAAGACCTTTGCACAAGGCATTTTGTTTTGTTTCCATTTGCATTTGCATTTTCTAGGTTTACGAGCGATAACAATGTTAAAACTCGTAGGTCCAAAAATTTTCGTTTCTTTTTTTTCCTCATCCCACCCTTGTCCTATCCAATTATTATTACTCTTTCTACGTGCAAATATAATTTTGCTTCCCCCCCTCCCCCGAAATGAGGCACTCTGGAATGCCAAGTGCGTGCGTGAGGCGTGACTAGGAAGGCATTAAACGCCCCACCTCAATCTCCGCGGCCGTGGCGCATCGTGGCGTGGCGTGTTGCGAGCGCCCATGACGAGCTCATGTCAGGCTGCCGCACACACGGCGGCGTCTGGCGTCTGCTGGGAGTTCCCGCGCGACAGTTTACGCTCTATCGTTGCGTTGGATCGTCGCCGCGGTCGACACATTATCTGGACGTTATTTTTGGGGCTCGCGCGCGGTCGGGTCTTTTGGTCTATTATTACGGTGGAAACAGCAGGTTAAAAAGGCTGTCCGCTGGCTGTGTCTCATCCTTTTGCTCTCTCTCTCTCTCTGCTAGAGCTGCTTTTCGCCCCTCGGACGGACAGCGTGCTGTCCGGCCTGCCTCGCTGTCTGTCCTCGCCGGCCCGGCACGCCAGCAGTTAGCCATGCACCGCCGTCTCCCTTTGTTTTCATTAATTAGAGGGGAGAGAGAGAGAGAGGGGGGGGGGGGGGGGGGGGGGGGGGGTAAGGCACTTTCGTGTGGTATAATTGGGGGAGAGGAAAGGGAGGTAGGTGGAAGTTTGGCCAGCGCAGCGCGCGTCGCGACTCTATCTAAAAGTTTAATCCGGTCCGCCGATTTCTCTCTGATGTGATTGTTCCCGCACCGCCCCCGTTCCGGCGCGCACTATCGAAGAAAGAGTGAGGAGTGTGCGCTCTCACTCCAGCAAAATGAAATTCCGCGGCCTGCGGTCTTAGCCGACCGCCCGCGCGCCCCAGCGCCCCAGCGTCCCTTTGGACCCGACCCGAGTGTCTTCACTGTAAAGGATGAGAGGCGAAGAGGCCGAGCGTCCTGTTCGTGATATCCTATCCCACCCAATAGGCCTGCAAGGTGATTCGCACAGAAAAAAAGATCCCTATGATTTCAGGGAGCAACAGTAAGGAAAAAATTTGGGAAGGAACCGATATGCTAAATTTATGTGGCGCAGACACAGGAGTAGACATTTTGACCAGTCCTTTTACTTAAAGTGTTGACTTTAGCTTCAAACGCGACACTTATAACTGAAACGCAGTAACGGCTGCATGGCAACATTTAAACTAAAAGTAAGGATTCAGAGTAAACATTCGGGAAATTGTTTGAGCGGAGTATTTAATGTAAACCCCACGATCCCACTAGTGCGCGCTGTTCCATGTCGACGGTCAAGGACAAAGAGCGACGTGATCTTCTTGTTTGCGTACTCGTGCCTGGAGCCGGAGATCGAGTGCATGCGGCGTGCTGCGTGGTGGGGTGGGTAGGTTCCCGACGGGAAGCGGCCGAGGAAGAGTCCCAAAGTGAGTTTGGCGGCACCATCGATCAATAAAGGGAACGTAAAAGGTGAGATGTCCCGGGGAAAAAGGTGCGACGGACGGCGCGGCGAAAGATGGCGAAGTCCGACAAAGTCACTCTCGAGTCGCTGTCGGCCGAGATTATAAGAGGGAGCAGCAGGGGATGAAGAGATTTACTTTTTTTTTTTGTCTTTGGCTGTCCGCGAAAGGAAAACAAACAAACCTTGGAAGGTTTCGCCAAAAAAGACACACAAAAACATTTATCAGCCACACCGCAACGTTGCTGCAGCAGCAGCAGCAGGGAGAGTATGCGGTTGGCAGAAGTCAAAACCATCGCAGCGGTGAATTAAAAGACAATATTAATTACTGTGCTCGTGCTCGGGAACAGTTTAATGCGGGTTTGATCCGCTTGTGCAGGCTATCCGACCCCGTGTCGCCACGCCCCGCCGCCACGCCCCGCAGCCGCTGACATTAACGGCCACACGCTCATATCCGGCCCTGACCCGGGGAGGAAATCAAACCCGTTCTGCGCGGGAGCTCCGCCGCCGCCCGCGTGGCCCCGCCTGATGGGCCCCGCGAGGAAATTAATATCATCTCGCATTAATTAATTCATTTGGCGCGCGAGAAGCTGCGCCGCTGTCTGTCCATCGAGAGAAAGAGGAAGGAAGGGGCGGGCGGGCCGGAAGTCGAGACCGGACGCGGCAAACGTCACGCTGGGAAAACAGAGCGGGGCCTGCGGAGCGCCGTTGATATGAGCCAAACTTGAGTGCTTATTTGTTTTGAACGCAATTCCAATGTTGGTGGGTACAAATTAAAAAATAACCGCAACACTTTGTGCACACTGCTGTACTTTTAGTGAGTCTAACACCACTCTAAAGGATTTTAAAACATCACGCAATTGAGTGAAATTTTAGTCACGCCACTTCACTTTATTCCCCGCCGCTAAAATGATTTAGCAAACCTAATTTCCCACCCTCGTTTTTGCCGGCGCGGTGCCGTCAAAGTTGCAACGTGCAAAACTGCTCTCGCGCCGTTTAATAAATCGCCAGGGTCAGTATCATGGCCCATTTGCGTTTCGTTTCGGGGCGGGCGGGGCGCCTTTCTACCTGGCTGGCGGCGAGGCGCGCGGCTCTATACCGAGGTCACTCGAGTCATTTCAATGCAGAGTAGGCGCCACGGCCCGGGCCAGCCCCGCAGAGCAGCAGCAGCCAGTATATCCCTCGGATATTGTGGCTCGGAGTCGGGTTTACGTCTGCGTTCGGATGTGTCCCTCCGCCCGTATTGTTCGGACGCCTCCGAGGGGGAGCAGGGGTGGCGGCGGTGGCGAGAGGAGGAGGGTATGAAGGAGCTATACGAGGGGACGCCTAAGTCATCAAAACTCCCGCCTCCTTCCATATCAGGGCAATGAAGAAAGGCATCAAGACGCCCGTGACAATAGGAGGAGATCACACGCGGAAGATTTTTCTATATAATTTTTTTTTTTTGGTGCCCCGTCGCCACCCGCCCCGGGCGGGGTCGGTTGTCGTTGGTGTGGTGGTGTGGTGGGGTGAGCGACGGCACTCTTATATTTGCTCGGCGAAGCGACGACGTGGGTCGGAGATAGTGGGCAATGTAAGTGGAGGGGCGGCGGTTGGGCTCCGGGACTGCGGGTGCGGGCCGCGCGGTTCTCCAGGGAGGCGGGAGAGAGAGAGGGTGGGAGAGGGGGGAGGGGCGCTCTCCACGAGATGGGACCGAGAAGTGACGACACGGAGCCGTACCACCGGCTGCGTGGGCGCGGAGAGGGTTTGAAGGGCGGGGGTCTTCGGCAAAGAGAGAAAATGATCCACGCACTTTGAGCTCGTCGCGTCGCAAAGCGACTCGGCGGCTCGACGCTGCGACGACGACCCTCCGGGCTGATTAGATACGCAAACCAAGCAACAGGTGGGGAAGGAAGGGGTGGGTTGAGGCAAAGTTGTAAAAGTAAATTGAAACGCGGTATATTTTGTCATGTAGATGTTTTCGAAATAAGGAGTTCTATTGGGTGCTTTAAAGTAGTGCCCTATTTTCGGACAAAATATAGTACAAATTCTGAAAACATAACCACTGTTTGCCAAACCAAAAATATCCCTTGGGGGCTAAGAATGTGAGTAAGTGCGCAAGCGAAGGACAGAGACGGGGCTTTGGAAAAGAGGTGGGGTGGGGAAAGGCATTCGGTTTTGGTGATGAAGGGTTAAGAACAGCAGCGTGCGGACAGCAAGAGTTATGGCCGACTGCACACAACATATGACCCTCCCAACGGCAGCTGCAGATAGGATGCCACTTTGCCCCATCAGTAGCCTCGCCCCCCCCCCACCCTTCCCCCTTTTACAGGCTAGCCCGCCTCCCTTCCCCTCCCCCTCTGTTGCCGCCCCAGCTTTATCGAAGGACACATCGCCGAAGGTGCGCGACGCGCGGGACGTGAGATGTATTTTGAGAGGGAATAAGCCGAAGAGAGAGAGAGAGAATGATGCAAGGTTACCCACAGAGAGAGAGAGAGAGAGCTGGCCGCGCCGCGAGGCCATAAATTTGGAAAGGGGAGACGTGGTTGACCGCAGAGCGCACAATCATTGCCGACGAATGGGCGTGAATTAAACACAGTGTTATCTGCCAGCGATGCGGGGGTTGGTGGAGGAAGAGAGATGGCCGAGGTTTGCTCTTGGTAGGCCTATAAGTGTGTTGTCTCACTTTGCCTTGAAATATATGTATGACCATTATTAGTAGGCTGTCATTATTTTTAACGTGGATGATGAATGTATTTGCGTGCGCCGCCACCCCCTGCAAAACGTAATTGCTACAAAATTCATTTCGATTGCGATTTTCGGATTATTCTTGTTTCTATGAAAGTCATTATAAAGTACTGCGGTTGGTGTTTTTTTTTATTTTTCGGATGGTGTTGGAGAGCTAGGATGGTTAATGGGGTCGTGTGTGCACTTATAAAATGCTTTCTTTGGTTCAAGGTAATTCCATTGAAAATCAGAAAAGACACTTCTGAATAAAATGTCCATAGTTTACCGAAATATACCTAGAAATCAAAGCAATTTGAAAGTTGCCTTTGGTATTTGAGTCAAATCATGTTTCAATGGAGTTTTCTTCAATGAAAGAAAACCCTTTTCTGAGCCCAGAAGTGTACTGCTAGGCATTCGGATTGCCGCCGCGCTGAAGCCGTACACGTTCACGTGGATGGGGTTGGGGAGGGCTGTTGGTCCGTGCCACTCCTCCCCCCTGCCCTCACCGCCCTCCGTCTTTGTCTCAAGACCGTTGAGAGCGCCGGACGCGCTGGCTGCCGGACGGCTCTGTATTGTGCGCCGGGCTCCGGTCTGCCTTTGCTGTAATCTCCGTCTCCATTTCTCACTATACTACTTTCGATTCCCCACTCTGAATCCCTATCAGTGAGCGTCAGTGAAGGGCCCTCCCCCCCCCCCTCTCTCTCCCTCCTCTGGCTGGCTCAAAATCCTTTTCGCGATGAGTTCGTCGTTGAGAGAGAAAGAGAAGAGGGCACGTCGAGAAACATCTGTCGGCCGAAAGACTTTGCTTTCTTGCACGAACTGTGGCGCTGTGAGTGCCTTGGCAAAAACAAGGTAAGACACGTTGTACCTTCGAAAAGGCATTAACGCTTTAAAAAGAATTAAAAGCCACATATATTTTCCGCTTTTCGACCGTTCTAACCCATTGTTATCTCGTTATTTACTGGAAATATGGGGGTTCCGGGGACATTGTCAATGATATATGTGAATTTGCGAGCTAATATCGTAAACTTAAAAATCAAAAATTCAATGAAGTGGGGAATTTGAAATGTAAAATTTCGTAAACTTAACATGATAGAAATTGGACTAGGTGACCAACATGTTTCTGTACTTTGTTTTCGTCTACGTTTTGCGTTGTGAAATTTTTTCACAAAGCAGTTCTTTCGCTCTTTCTACTGAGACCCTAATAGGAGACTGTTAGTTGGAAGTGTGCCGTTTAACGCCCATGAAAAGTCGCTGTACCAACTGAAACATTCAGCGGGGCCCAGCAGGACTTGGTCTTGTTCCGCCGGGCACGAGTCGTGGCGCCACGTAGCGAGCGCGAGGGCTCGGGGGCGGCGTGGGCGGGCAAAGTAGTGTAGTGGAGAGTTTTGCAGGGGAAAACCGAGGGGGAAAACAATACACATCACGTCGAAATGGCACACAACGGCAGTCTCGCAGCGGCAGCAGGCCAAAGCGCCGTTCGCTCCCTTTGAATCCCCGTGGAAACGGAGGCCCAGGAGGGCCCAACTTTTGCCGCATGCCCGTGTGTATATGTGAACGTGACCCTCCTACCCCTACCCCCGCAACAAAAAAGGGTGATGAAAATGAAAAGTGAAAAGGGTCTGGTCTGCTCTCAATGATTTACCGGCCTATTTTTTTCCCCCGTGAAACCAAACACAAACTTGTGACAACGAAATGAATGCAATCTGCCGCCTGTTGAAAAATTATTATTTGTTCTTATTGGCCCTGCACAAGAATAATAATGGGAATACATATACCCCTACCGCCTGGATCCTTTGACGTGGCCCTGCTGACCCCTTTAATTTTCGGCAGAGTAGTAGTGCAGTAAGGACCCCACTGGGGCTGAGGGCCGCCTGATTGGGCTCTGCGAGGTCCGTCGTGCTGCAGCTCTGTGGCGAGGCCGGGGGCCACCAGGCCTCCACTCCAGCCCAATAGGAGAGGAGGGTCAGGACGCCACAACTTTGGGCCGAGACCTGGACCAGGACCTTTCCGAGGCCTTCTACGGGATCTTTCTCCCCACCTCTTCTTGTTTTTTTTTGGAAATGTCATGGTCACTTATTTTCATTTTCCTCGCATTTTTTTTTTTAGCGACTGCCGTTTTTCTGGAGAGTTAAAAAACTCTGTCGTCTGGAAGAAGAAAGCAAAAGTTGTATTCAAAGAGACCAAAAAATTGGCAACTCCGCTATAATGTCAACATTTCGCATTGCAAAGACCGTATTTTGAACAGCTCCACACGAGTAGTGGGCAGTGGGCGCACGCCGCGGAGGGGGAGGAGGAGCGGTAGTCCGAGCTATGTGCCCGCCGGGCTCCGCCGGGCTCCGCCTGGGCCTGTCGAGAGCCATTACTCCCGATTAAACGCGGCTGTCCCCACTACAAACAGGGCGGCGGGGCGGTGCACCACGCGCCCGCGCGGACCCCGCTGGGACGTTTGCGAAACTACTTGGGCGGGAGAGAGTAGTTTTCGCGGTGCGTGTCGCCGCGCCACTGGCCCCATTCGCGCACCCGCCGCTCGTCGTGGGGCCTACATTTGGGGATGCAAAGCTGCTTCTTCTTTGTGTTTTACTCGTTCTTTTGACGATATGTACTTACAGCTTTCCTATACTCACGTATCTAGACCATGCAGGCAGAGCGCAGATCGCCATTTCCGAAGCTTGCTTTGAGAAAGTCCCCTTACCTGTAACAAAAGAAGTAGAATGTTTAATTAGTTCTGTTTTTTTCTTGCAGTACATGCCTCTGGGGTGGTCCAACTAGCGGGCCCTTTTCACTCGGGCCGGATTCAGCCACATCCTCCCTCCCCTGGCTCGCCCAGACACGACCCCTGGCCTCCGAGGAGCTCCACCAGGTATGTCTTCAATGAGAAGTTGCTACTCTTCCTTTTTTTCCAAGTCCCCCTTCCCTTCCCCCCTGCCAGGCCGAGCAAGGGCGCGAGCGCGCGGGTGTTTTTCCTTTCCTCTCAATTTGTTCAGCAACGAACCTCCCACCCATATCCGGACCAGACAAGGTTTCTTTCACCGTTTCGGAACGAAGGAGGGCTTGATTTTTCGGTCTACGATTTTGCGTGCATGTCTCTTCCCAGGCCATCTTGTTCGGCCCCCATTTGGTTCTCTCAATTCGATATCCCCTTTTCCCTCTTTTCAGCCCCCGCCCCATTCTCTGACTCTTTGCCCCCCTCTCCCTCTCACCCTGTGTTGTGATAGACCCCCCCTCAGCCCCTCCCCCCTCCCCCACGAACGGCGCATTGCTCAGCCGCGAATGAATATCCCCCGCGATGATTTTATGCCGTGTGCGATTTAAAAGCGATTGGAGCCGCCGCCACCACCACATCGATTCTAATGCGGCAAAGTCAGCCTTTTCAACGCGGGAAAGCGGACAGCCCCGCCAGCCAGCGGAGCAGGCCCGGCGAAATGCTGAAAGATATATATGGGGTTTTGTGTGCCCAGAGGAGCAGGGCGAAGGAGAGGACTTTGAATGAGATTCCAAGGGTACAAGCGAGTTCTGTGTTTGAAATCAGCGGAAGGTTACGAGGGAAAAAGAAGATCCATTACCCTCAGCATCTAACTGAAGGGCAGCCTGACTGACATTTTAGTCTTTTAACAATCATTTGAGGTCATTCCGCTTGTACTAGTTCACTTAAAAAATGTAACGTTGCTAGAGTACACGTTGATTTGTTTTCTGGCTGAATGACGTCCGCTCTGTTCTCTCACTTATCCTCACAGAACTCTCATAAACACACACAACACGAAAATAGCTGATAAAGTGTCTATTTCCGTCCCAAATGTGAGGCTTTTGGCCTATCACCCTCGTCCTAACAGCGCACATAACCGTTACGTTCTGTGTGAGAGGCTGCCGGCTGAGACTGCAGCCCCCCCCCCCCCTTTCTCCCCTCCGTCTCAGCACAGCTGCTCAGCGCCCCACCCCCGGGGCATTTGGACGGCCCGGCCCGCAAGGGTATCTCCTCATCACAACCACCAGGGTGTGCAGCAGCAGTGAGCAGTCCATTGTCACTGGCCACTACTTGAACGTCTAGAGAATAGCTGGAGCGCAGCCCAGCCCCTGTTGGGGTTGACGGTCAAGTTGAGGGTGTGACTCAATAACAGTACATTTCTTATCCTCTCCAAATATACAAAACACGCACTAAACACATTCCACTTTTCCATCGACTTTCTATGTGGAACTTCCCATTTCTCCCCTCAGCCTGAATCTATCCTTTGAAGACTTTTCACTGCGACATGACAAACATTGGACACTGTTTACCGTTAAATAAATTGCGTCACCTTATGATGAACGTCGCGGGTGGGCTGCCAACCGAAGAAAAGCTGTCGACCCACTAGCGGAAAATTGATTCATTACTGTAATGGTCTGATCAACCCGATTTGGAAGATGTGTGGATCTCCAAATCTTCTGCCGAGGCACGGAGGTTGGAAGCGCCCGCGAGCGAGGCATAGGCCGCCGGCAGCACACCGGAGCGGTGCGGGTCGGCCTACCTTGGACCTGACAGGCGCTCATCCCAAGGTCTCAGCGGAGAACTAATACAATAGGACACAAGTCGTTTACCCGCGAGCTAGTTGCGGGGTGGAATGGAAACTCGACCCTCCGACATCGTTTTCCACCACAGCTCGCGTAAAGTGACTCATTAGTTTCGGAACCGTCATTAAAGGTGTATGCCGTTGAGATGTGAGACAACTTTGCGAAGTACTCAGCCACCCTACATTTCAAATACCGCGGGGGGCACGCCTTATTTCGAGTTGGCATTGTTGGTATGTGTGTGTCTTAAGGGATGAGGGGTTGGAAGGGGGGTTGGTGGGGCGTTGGGATGGAGTACCGACTTATTCGAGGTCCCCTTCCCCTGGCAGGCACACACGCACACACTCACATACACGAAACACGAGAATGTCACTCACGGAAGTCTTGCCACTTGCGCATACCTCTCCGTTCCTCTTCCTGCTAATCTCCCTCCTGCCTTATTCCATTGCTCTCGCTCTCTCTCTTTCACCACACACACACACACCAAACTCTCCTCCCACACTCACACTGTCACGGTGGTGAAGTGTTCTCGGACGGAAAGTTCCCCAAGGTAGGTGCGCTGCTTGTGGCGGGGCGTGGCGGGGCGGCCACTTAAGCGCCGTGCGTTTATCACCGGGGGGACCGGTCAGGTCGGACCCGGAGAGCCTTTTGTCATCCGGACCCCTAAAATATAATGCCCTGTCGTCCGCACAGTCTTAAGAAGAGGCGGCCGCTGAAAACTTCGCACTCTTGCGAGCCTTTATCTGCGCGCCCAACCACTTTGGAGGGGATGAGAGAGAAAAAAAGAGAAAGTTTGCGACAACCTTTAATAATAATTGCTACCCCGGTAAAACATCCGCTCACAACACAGTGGCTATATTTCTTCCCTTAAGATGAATTAAACTTTATCGCAATATCTTTTCGTGTACTTTCATTTCAAAACCTTTAAGTGTGCTACTTTAGTCAAACAAAAGCACAATTGACTAATAATGACTTATGGACTTATGATAATTCAGAAAAATGTTTAAAAACTATCTGAATCAAAATTTACAACCGACAAGTTCCCCTAAAATTAATTACTTTTGCCGTAATAGAGCTCGCTTTTGCGGTGTCTAGTCCCTCCCGCGGTGGGGTGCCACTCATCCCCCACCTCTCCCGAACGCCGGCGGCGCCGCAGGCTCCCCCGCCGCGCCTTTCCCTCAAATTGGTCGCCGTGAAATCAAATACACCACGTCCACCGACGGAAATCGCTGACGCAATCAACTCCCCCGGCCCACGCGCTGTATCCACCGGCTCCCGCCGCTCTCGGCTCTATCGCGCTCTACACACTTTTGCTGTCGGAGATGAGCGCGTGCATACACAACTACGCACATACACACACAAAGTAAACAAAATAATCTTTATTTGCGACGACAAATTTGGTGTTGATTTTGTCGCGCGAAATCATCTTTAACCCAATAAATTATGATTCCACGAATGATTTAGTAAAATGCGAAAGGTAGAAATGCTTATTCACCGCCCAACAAATTTGCTTCTTTTCCCCTATTCTCAAACATTCCTTAAGTCAGGACAACGTTCGACGATGGCTGGCTTTTAACTGTCGCAGGCGTAAAACACAAACACGAACACAAAATAACAATGCCGTTTTCTGGCTGAAGCACGTTGTCGTGTAAAACAGAGAGGTCAAGACACTCCTCATTATACACCTCCCCTGATTTTTAAACTCCTGGCCCGCCCGTCCGGGGGACGCGCAGGGCATCGCGCCCTTAAGGGTACGGTGCCGCAGTGAATCTTAATGCTGCTCGTTTGACCTCTGCTGGCCGTGAGGCGGGGCGCCAGCGCGCGGCCGACTGCTTGACAACAACAGCGACTTTCAACCACAACAACAACAGCGAAACACACGAACAAACTACGGAGAGCAGCAGCAGCCAGCCAGGTTCGCCAAAAAGGCAGCGAATCGGACAGCGGCAGCATAGACCCTCGGGGCCACACCACCGGGTCAGGGCTGCCAACTGTTATCCCCCTGCAATTATTCGTGTTTGACGGCGGGCAATTGTCCCCCCCCCCCCTTTTCAGGGGCGGTCGACGGCATTCCCCCTCCTTGCAAGTCGACCGACCGACTGCTCGAACCACTCGGGAAGCTTCATTATGGAGGCAGAACGGTCCTCGCAGTCGATGATTTGACCCGCCGCCGCCACCGCCACCGCCGCCGCCCCGTCGTCAACGTCAACTTGCTGCATAGCGGTTTGACTTGTGCCGGGGACCACGCTGTGCGCCAGCTCAGGACGTCGTCGGCTGACTCGGAGCCGGGGCGACGCGGAAACGAGCAAATTCTTCCCCCTCCTTTTTGGTTCGTTTGATTCTGCTGTGCATGTTTACTCGTAACCCCACCCGCCCTCCTTTCTCCCAACCTCCTTGCCCTGCCTTCCTCTCAGGTTGTCCTTCCCCGCCATTTCACCTGGCTTTCCCATCGACTTGCCCTCCTTTTCTCTTTTGAGCCTCTCATCTGCCCCCTGCCCCGCCCCCCACTCGGCCTGTGGACGTGCCTCGGTGCCTCTGCCGCCCCCTTTTCACCCCCCCCCCTCCCTCACTCCGCCCGTCATGTCGACGCAAATGCCCCCGCTTCTTTTCACGGAGCAAAGTGGTCCCGTTTGATATACATGTTTATTTACGTGTGCCGGCGGCGCGCAGGGCTATTGACTTGGCAGAGCGTACAGGAGGGGGGCTTTACCGTACACAGCTCGCGAATGCACGACGCTCTCGGGGGGGCTTTGTGACGACAGGAGAGAGGACTTTTCCGTGTGCCCCCTGATGAAGACGCTTGTCCTATGGAAAACGACTGGAAGAGTCAGCTTGGCGCTGCTCCAGACGTCCCCTATGGCCGGGGAGGTGGATCCGCGCATGCAGAAGAAAGGTTCGATCAAGGGACGCACATCGAGTTGTGTGTGTGCTGCTTGAGCAGAGGTTTCGACTGAGTAGGTTTACTCAAAACGATGATTTATTTGGGAGCCCTGCCCTACGATGGCCTTTAAACATACTCGAAACGCCGTGGTTGTTTCGTTTTGCCAACATTTTGGCACTCCTTTTTTTGTTAACCCTGCCGCTTTTTGTCCCTCCTCCGAAAGACTGGCATATGAAATCCCAAACGGGGAAAATGTCACCATTTAGAGGGGCCAAAAATTAACAGTCTGGTAAAATCTAAAAAGGAAATGCGAAAATTTGGCACTCAAAGGGAAATCCCAAAATGCTGGTGGTAAAAGCGCCCACGGGTACGGCACGAGTGGTGAAGGCTTATTGTGAGAGGTTCTCTGGGCAGACTTCCTGGGGAAGGCTTCCCTC